GTTCTGACTATGAGGTCTTAGCTCTGAACCGTAGCTCTTGGAGGAAAGAGGAAATGCAGTTATTATGGCCAGAATAATAGTCCTCAGCATTACTGAAGAAACAGAAACACTCCCAAACAGTTTCTATGAGGCACATATCACCCTAATACCAAAAGCAAACAGAGACAACACAAAAAAAGAAAATTACAGGCCGATAACCCTGATGAACAAGGATGCCAAGATCCTCACAAAATACTAACAAATAGAATCCAACAACTCATCAAAAAAATCATACACCATGATCAAGTGGGATTTATCCCGGGGATGCAAGTATGTTTTGACATTCACAAACCAAGCAACATAATCATCATATCAATTAAATATAAACCCATATGATCATATCAATAGATGCAGAAAAAGCATTTGACAAGATTCAGCACCCGTTTATGATGAAAACTCTCACCAAAATGGGTATTGAAGGAACTTTCTTCAATATAGTCAAAACCATCTATCACAAGCCTATGGCAAGCATTATCCTCAATGGGGGAAAACTAAGAGCCTTTCCTCTAAGATCAGGGACAAGACAAGGATGCCCACTCTCACCACTTCTATTCAATACTGGAAGTACTTGCAATAGCAGTTAGGTAAGAGAAAGATATTTCGGACACTCAAATAGGAAATGAAGGAATCAAGCTCTCACTATTTGCAGATGATCACTGTCCCTGTTCTCCCATTGTTCATCCATTTTCTGGAGCGGGCCCAGTAACGTCTCCATCATAAGACTTGTTGTTACTGTGTTTGGCATATCGAATGTGTCATGGGTAGGTTGCCAGGCTTTGCCTGCGTGAGAGGGGTGGAGGAATTGAACCTAGCATGGCCGGACTGGCTGCATGCAAGGCAAACACCCTACCACTGTGCTATGGCTCCTTCAAGGGGGGAAACATGTGCCAGAAAGAGCGCTCAACAGCTTCTTGGGGCCAGAGAGATAGTATAGTGGATAGGACGTTTGCCTTGCATGCAGCCAATCCAGGTTCAATCCTCAGCATCCCATATGGTTCCCTGAGCACAGCCATGGATAATTCCTGAATGCGGAAACAGGAGTAAACCCTGAGTATTGCTGGATGTGACACAAAAAGGAAAAAAATGATATGCAGATGATATGATACTATATTTGCAGATGATATGATACTATGTATTTGCAGATGATTTGATACTGTATTTAGAGAACCCTAAAACCTCTACCAAGAAGCTCCTAGAAACAATAAACTTGTATAGTAAAGTTGCAGGCTATAAAATCAATACCCAAAAGTCCATGGCTTTCTTTTTTTTTTCCTTTTTTTTGGGGGGGGTCACACCTGGCGATGCAAGGGATTACTCCTGGCTCTGCACTCAGGAGTTACTCCTGGCGGTGCTCTGGGGACCATATGGGATGCTGGGAATTGAACCCGGGTCGACCGCGTCCAAGGCAAACGCCCTACCCTCTATGCTATCTCTCCAGCCCCAGTCCATGGCTTTCTAATATGAGAGAGAAGAAATAATGAGAGAGAAGAAAGTGACATGAAAAAACTATCCCATTCACAATCATGCCTCAGAAAATCAAGTACTCAGAATCAGCTTAACTAAAGAGTTAAAGGATCTGTTAGAGAAAACTACAAAATACTACTTCATGAAATAAAAGAGGACACGAGGAAATGGAAGCATATCTTCCCCTCATGGATTGGGAGAATTAACATTGTCAAAATGGCAATACTCCCCAAAGCATTATACAGATTCAGTGTGATCCCTATAAGGATACCCATGAAATTCTTCAGAGAAATTGATCAAGCACTCCTGAAATTCATATGTAACTACAAACCCCCATGAATATCTAAAGCAATTCTTTGGGGAAAAAAGATGGGATGTATCACCTTCTCCAACATCAAACTCTACTACAAAGCAGTAATAGTTGTATAATTGAAATCCAAGCACAAAACTTTCTAAGTCTACAACTGTACCACATGGTGTTTCACTAATAAAAATTAAAAAAAAAACAGCATGGTATTGGAACAAAGGCAAAATCACAGACCAATGGAACAGGGTTGAATATCCTTACACACACCCTCAAATATATGTCATCTAATCTTTGATAAGGGAGCAAGAAGTGTGAAGTGGAGCAAGGAAAGCCTCTTTAACAACTGGTGCTGGCAAAACTGGAAAGCTACATGCCAAAAAATGGGCTCAGACTGCTACCTAACACCATATTCAAAAGTCAGACCAAAATGGATTAAAGACCTCAACATCAGACCAGAATTCATAAGGTATAGAAGAAAAGGTCTGCAAAATCCTCCATGACATTGAAGCTAAAGGTAATTTCAAAGATGATATGCCACTGACCAAGCAAGTGGAAACATAGATAAACAGCCGGGACTATCTGAAACTAAGACGCTTCTGTGCTTCAAAAGAAACAGTAACCAGAATACAAAGACAGTCTACAGAATGGGAAAGGGTCACTTGTATCACTTGTCATCCTGTTATTCATAGATTTGCTCTAGCAAGCGCCAGTAAGGTCTCCATTCATCCCTCTTGCGCGCTAGTGTAGCCCAATGGCATCTGTTCACTCAAAATTTTAAATTTCTGAATAACTTATAATTTCATTTTTTTTAGTAATCTGAGCGACAACACAGCAGGTAGGTCGTTTGCCTTGCACATGGCTGACCTGGGATCAATTCCTGTTCCTCTCAGAGAGCCTGGCAAGCTACTGAGAGTATCCCACCCACAAGCTCCCTGAGGTGTATTCGATATACCAAAAACAATAACAACAAGTCTCACAGTGGAGACATTACTGGTGTCTGCTCGAGCAAAGTGATGAACACCTGGAGGACAGTGCTACAGTGCTACCCTTTTATGTTGTTGGGCGATACCAGGTTATACCCAGGGTTTATTCTTAGATCTGTATTTAGGGATCAGTCCTGACAGCGCTCAGGGAATCATATGGAGTGCTGGGGATCGAACCCAGGACTACTGTGTGCAAGGCAGGTACCCAACCCACTATACTATAGCTCTGACCCTGATAGCTCTTTTTTCTAACATGTCTAATGTGTTTCACTTAATCAGGGTTTTATTCTTAGAATGATCTTAAATTCTCTCATATATGTTTACTTTTGTTAATCAGGACCAGAGCAGTAGTACAGGTAGGGCACTTGCCTATCATGTGGCTTACTGGGTTCCATCCCTGGCATCACATATTGTGTCCTGAGCACCACCAGAAGTGATCCCTGAACGCAGATCCAGGAGTAATCCCTGAGTACCACTTGTTGTGGCCCTAAAATAAAATGACAAAAGCAAAAGTTTACTTTAATACCGAAGATATTTCTGAGGACCTGCATGAACCAAAACTACTTTGGATGTGGAGGATAGAAGTAAATAATTGTCTGTCACTGTCACTGTCCTCCCGTTGTTCATCGATTTGCTCGAGCGGGCCCAGTAACGTCTCCATTGGAGACTTTGTTGTTACTGTGTTTGGCACATCGAATACATCACGGGTAGCTTGCCAGGCTCTGCTGTGCGGGCGAGATACTCTCGGTGGCTTGCCGGGCTCTCCGAGAGGGCGGAGGAATTGAACTCGGGTCGGCCATGTTAGCTGCGTGCAAGGCAAACGCCTGACAGCTGTGCTATCGCTCCAACCCAGAAGTAAATAAAGCACACAAAAATTATTATCCTACTGTGAAGTTTTCAAGCCATTAAAAGAATACATTATGAAAAAAATAAGCAAATAAATCCTGAAGAAACATATAGCAAGCAGCACTTGGGGATGAGCTTTGCAGATTGCAATTTTCAATAGGGTGCCAGAAAAAAACCCTCTATGTGGAAGTCCTAAAGGCGATTAGGAATGCGGAGGAGGTAACTGCAAGCACAAAGACAGAATACAAAGGTGTGTTTGATATTTTGTCCCAACTGCAAATGGTTTATTCCAATCCTTACCCATTAATCTCATCAGCTTGAATTGCAACGAGATAATTTTTGTTTTAAATGTGCAATTGCTTTGAACTGGCTTGGACACACATGTCGTTTCCTCAATCTTCCCAGGAATGCAGCCAAGTGCTGTTTTCAGTATAGGTTGTATTGGACATCACACTGTCTCCAAGTTTTCCCAGATCCTTCGTGCCTTTACTCCCTCAGTAAAGGCACTTTAAGCCTAAAACATATATTTCGAAGAATTCACACAAACACCGTAAAATATTTAGCTAAATAGTATTGCAATATAGCTAGCATGTTAGAATAACGGTATCTGAATTATAGTATGCTATTAAATTCATTTGCTCTTCATTTTTTTTAAGCTGCAGTCAACGGAATATTTAAAACAAAATGCGACTCATTTCCTACTGCTTTGGAAAACTCTGGATTAGCCTGCTGGGGACAGGGTGGTAACCACAGTCGGCTCCCTTCAAGCAATGCCTAGCTGGTAGTGTCACTTCCAGTCCCTGGCAATGATCCCAATGTCCAGGTCCCCTACAAGATGGCAGAGTGCCGTAGGGAGCTGCCAGTGTACGGGGAGGAAAGACACTCCAGCGAAAACGCACAACGCGGCGCTCCGATTGGCAGAGAGGGGGCCGAGCGAGGGTGCCGGTTTCGGTACAGCCCCGTCGTCGCCCCGCCTCTTTGCGGCAGAGCGCAGGCCGGTACAAACCGGTTCAGAGCCCTGACTGACATCTCGTATCACCCAATCCTCCGAGCGCTACCGCCTCCCCGGCGCGGGGGGAGATCTGGAATATTAAAGAACCGGCGCTCCCGGAGGCGGCCCCGAGGCTCAGAGCTACCGAGACGGAGCGGACCAGCGGCCAATGGCGCAGCACGGGGGCGGGCCCTCAGGGTAAGCCCCACCCCCTGGCCGCCCTCTTTGGGCCCGGGCCGGCTCCGCAGCCGACGGAAGAGGGGCGGGGGCGGGGCCTGGGAGCCCCGCGCCTGCGCACTGCGGCGCCGCGGCTGGCCGGGATGACGTCGCCTCCTCCGGCGGCCTCCGCGCCCCGCCCCTGGCCGCGGTCCCCGCAGCGGGCGCGCACTCGGTGGGGCGGCGCCGGGCGGGCAGCCTCGTCCTCTCCGTGCGTGCGCGCAGCTCGGTCGTCGCCAGCCCGCGGCCGCTGCCGTCGTCGCTTTGTTCCCGGGGCTCGCCGCGGAGCCGCCCCCGCGCCACCCTGGCGTCGTCCTCGTCGCCGTCGCCGCCGCCGCCGCCCTCCGCGCGCGGCCGGGCCTTGCCCCCCATGGTGTCCCGGCCCGAGCCCGAGAGCGAGACCATGGACGCGGAGCTGGTGGTGACACCCCCGGGCTGCTCGCACCTGAGCAGCTTCAAGGTGGACAACTGGAAGCAGAACCTGCGCGCCATCTACCAGTGCTTCGTGTGGAGCGGGACGGCGGAGGCCCGCAAGCGCAAGGTGCGCCCCGACCCTCCGCGCCCGCGGGGCTGCCGCCTCCGGCCGCGCCGCCGGAGGGTGGGGGCTCGGCGCCCTCCCTCCCCCCGGCCCGGCCCCTCCCCCGCCGCGCCTTCCCTGCGCCTCGGGGTGGGCGAGGGCCCCGGCGGGTGGAAGCCTGCGCCGCGGGGTCGCGCGGCCCGACGTTCCAGCGCGACCCTGGCCGCGGAACCCTCCTGGGCCGGGAGGGTTCGGTGGCGGGGACGGCCGCCCCGAGGGAAAAGGAGGCGTCGGGGAGACGGCGGATCCGGGGCCTGGGTGTGGTGATCGGCCTCGGGTGCGCCCCCCGCCCCCACCTCGGAGCGCGTCGTCTTGGGGGGCTCGAGCCATGGAAACGGCCCCGCCTGCCTGAGCGGGGGTGGGGGGTGCAGGGCGCCGTCACAATTGCAGTGCTGGGGTCTGCAGGCGCCTTCAGGGCGGTGGTGGCACCTCCCGCCCCCGTTCTGGCTTTTCATGGTCGGTGGAAGGGGGTGCGGGGAGGGGGTGGCTGGCTGGGTAGAAACGGAGCCGGTCACAGACTCGACAGAGCCAGAACTGGGTGAGCCTTATCTCTGCGCGATTGCAGTTTGAAGCTTACCCGGGAGTGAATGAAAACAAACAAAAAAACCCCAGATAAGTCTGCTGGGATGTGGGACTCGGCGTGCTTTCTACGATGGAAAGGTTGTAGCAAGAAACTGAACCCCTCCTGGAGACGTTGAGGAGACGTATTGGGTGTTAGATTTTTTAAAAAGATACTTAATGTCTAAGCGATTAGGCTTCTTAGTAACGAGGTGAAAATACCAGAAGTACCGATATTCCTTCCTTCCGAATAAACCGTGTTATTAACAGTATAATTTTGTAATGTACGGCGTGAGTCTAGGCAAATTCCACGTAGAGTCGCATTTTTTGGGGGGTAGGGGGAAAGTGGAACATTGTCTGAGATTGTCGTTAATGTTAGGATTTTCTTTTCCATTTTATCAGTAATGGTATGACGCAAAACCCGTTAGCATGATCTAAAGTCAAAGATGAAATCCAGTCTTATGTTAGGATCGGATAGATTATTACTAGTGGGAATGTGCACCCTTAAAGAAAACTGGTTTGAAGCCCTGTGCCTCAGGGATCATCTTAAACTGCTGCAAATTGTCAGTTGCTCATCCAGCTTTGTATGACATGCATGAGATCCCTCTCTTCCCCTCTCACCCTCCTCTTCCCTTTTACCTCCCAGTGCACTGTAATTTTTAACAAAGCTGGAGTCCATCTTAACAAGTTTGCCTAATTTCCCCAAGGCAGAAATCTTTTTAAAAAAACCCGTTATTGCCATAGATTATTTGAATTAATCTTTCCCACCCCAGATCGATCAGTCTTACAATGTCAGTTGCTTAATTTGAAAGCTGTTGAACCACATCTGTAGTGATATACAGAGGGAGAATGATGATAACCTCCCCCCATCCCTCATCCCCTCTCCCCAGGCCTATCACTACTTGATAGCTGCACCTTTTGGCAGTATTCCTACAATAAATCCTCATTTTCTTCATCTGATACTCTCTACATTTTTTTGGTGGTCTTTTTTTCTTTTTGTATCAGTAGAGGTTCTATGTAACTGAATTTCTAGCACTCTCTAGTGGCCCTGCCAAGGAAGACACAGTGGTTAACAGTAAATAATTCAGTTGACAGTTTGTGTGAGATTTTGGCACATCTATTGACTTAGTACACTTTTCAGTTTTAGCAATATGAAGTTTCCTATAAGAATAGGTCCGTTTTCGTTATCTTTGTGAAAAAAAGGTGCCTGGTGAAGGTGATGCTTAGCAGTAGCCTCACTCCAGAAATGACTGGAGGAAAAGGATTTAAAGAGTTAGGTTGGGTGTTTGAATCTAGACTTGTTTCTTCCTTTGATAGGTAGAGAATATGATCGGATCTCATAACTTTTCATCTAGTTTATATTTGGATTACAGTAAATTTTCTTTTTTTCTTTTGGGCCACACCCAGCAGTGCTCGGGCTTATCCCCCACTCTGCACTGGGGGGGGGGGGGGGACACTGCTTGGGGGACTGGTGGGACTCGGGATTGAGCGTGGGTCGGCCATGCACAAGGCAAGCGCCGTACTCACTGTCTTATCCCTCTGACTCTTTCATGGTAAATTTTCTGTACTCTTGAATGCAAATGTTTCCCATGATTAAATGTCGCCATACAGTGCGCTCTGTTCTTTGCATTTCTGTATGGTTTAATGTAAGTTATTACCACTTTCGGGGTTTGTGTGTGTAAAGTAGAAATGTGCAGTAAAAATATGTATTTTTAAATATATAGACATGGGGGGAGGTAATGATTTTTTCCTCATTTATGTTTTGAGGGGAGGTCATTCCTGGTGTGCATTGGGGAGACTAGTGTTGGGGGATCAAAGCATGTAGAGCATGTGATCAAGCCCTTTGAACTGTCATCTCCCCAGCAAGGGATGTATCTTTTTTTTTTTTAAGAACACTTCCCCCCCCCCCCCCCCAAGAAAAAAACTTCTTACTTTTAGAAATTTGCCTTTGGTGGTGGTGGTGGGGGGGGGAGTGGTTTAACCATACCAAGCGGTTATCAGGGCTTACTCTGACTCTCTGTTCTGGGATCACTCCCCGAGAGATAGAGGTTCATAAATGGTGACAGGGATTGAACCCCAGGTTGGCTTCATGAGAGGCAAATGCCCTACCTACTGTGCTATCTCACTCCCCCCAGTGTTTTTGTTGTTGGTGGTGTTGTTGATTGATTAATTGATCTTTTCAGCCATTACAACACAGCATTCCCTTTATGCTGAGTAGTAAATTAGAAGTTTTTTCTTTTGAAAGTTTTTATTTTGAGGGGCTGGAGTGATAGCATAGCAAGTAGGTACGTACATGCAGCCAAACTAGGTTCAATTCCCGGCATCCCATATGACCCCCTGAGCACCGACAGGAGTAATTCCTGAGTACCGAGCCAGTAACCCTCGAGCATGTCAGGAGTAACCCCTGAGTATTGCTGAATATGGCCCGGAAAACTAAAAAAAAAAGTTTATTTTGAGATGGTTATACACTCATTTAGAGTTGGGGAAATATAGTACAGAAAGATACTGTTTTCTTTACCAAATCGCCTTCAATGGCACCATTTTGCAAAATTGTTACATAGTAGCACTGCCTGGGTATCATTCTTGATACACAGTTCATCTTTGGATCTTTGGTTTAATCTACTCATTCAGATTTCCTGTTTAACTTGTATTCATTTGTGTGTATAGTTAGCTCTGTGTAAACATGTAACAGTTTCATACTTACAGAAAAGTTACAAAAAATAATGTAGACTTCCTGTGTTTCCCTCCCTAATGTTAATGCCCTACATTATTGTGAGACTTTTTTGTCATATATCATGATCAATATTAACTCAATTTTGGATTTTTTTTGTTTGTTTGGGGACCACATGTGGTGGTTAGGGCTGTTTGTTCAAGCAATCATCCTGCCTGCTTACTATCTCTTTTGCCCCTAACTTTATTAAGATCTGAAAAAAAATTGTTTTGCTCTAAACTTGTGAACTGCTTCTTTGCTTTGAAGTTTATTTTGATTCCTAACAACACATTTACTGGAGGCAATGAAAAAAACTACTTCGTGATTTCATTTTGAAGTTGAAAACATGACTGAAAATTTGGATATAAACCTATTCATAAATCGGATAAACTTTAGGAACTCTGTTGTTATTGTTTGTTTTTGGATTGCACTGGCAGTGCTCAGGGCTTAGTCCTGGTTCTGTGTTCACAGGTCACTCCTGGGAGTGCTCAAGGACTATATATTATGCCATGAATCGAATGAGGACCTTGTGCAGTGCTGGTGCCTTTTAACCACTATAATATCCCTCTGGTCCCTTGTTGATTAATTGATAGGAATTTGCTTTCAGATTTTTAAAACTACTAACAAATTTTTGTTCCCACCATCCATGTATTTATTAATTTACTCTTAGTGGGCTGGAGCGATAGCACAGTGGTAGGGCGTTCACCTTACAAGCGGCCAACGTGGCCGACCCGAGTTTGATTCCTCCGCCCCTCTCGGAGAGCCCGGCAAGCTACCGAGAGTATTCGATATGCCAAACACAGTAACGACAAAGTCTCCAATGGAGACGTTACTGGGCCCGCTCGAGCAAATCGACGATCAACGGGAGGGCCTTTACCTTACCTTACCTTACCTTTACTCTTAGTGTATCAGTGTATAATGGTTTCCTACCAACTGGTACCCCCCTTGTGTTTGTTGTTATTTGGGGGCCACACCCCATAAGCTCAGGGCTTACTACTAGATTTGCATTCAGGGATCACTTCTGGTGGGGCTTGGGGGCGACCATATGTGGTGCTGGGGATTGAACAGGTTTAGTTGCGTTCACAGCAAGCCCCCTGCCGACTATACTGTTGCTCTGGCTCAGCTCATACTCCCTTGGGTGACACCCTTTCCATTCGAAGTAAAATGTTTGGGAAGGGTTTGGTTAGCAGTTTTGTACTTTTGGTGGGTCCCAGATGTGCTGGGGGTTTACTCCAGGTTCTGTTCAGAGATCACTCCTGGCAGTCCTCTGAGTAAACCCAGGTCTGCCTTGTGCAAGGCAAGAGCCCTGCCCACTGGACTATCTCTGGCTCCTGGTTTTGGACTTTTTACTCATTTTCAGGGGTTGGAGCAATAGCACAGTGGGTAGGGCATTTGCCTTGCACGCGGCCAACCTGGCCCACCCAGGTTCGATTCCTCCACCCCTCTCGGGGAGCCCGGCAAGCTACCAAGAGTATCTTGCCTGCACGGAAAAGCCTGGCAAGCTACCTGTGACGTATTTGATATGCCAAACACAGTAACAAGTCTCACTATGGAGATGTTACTGAGTCGGCTTGAGCAAATCGATGAACAACAGGAGGACAGTGACAGTGACTCATTTTCAGGTTTCTTCCTTCTAGGGAAACATTGGCATACGTTTGTCATAGTTATCTGATTCTTTTGTCTTGGTTTGCATTTCTGCTTTTTTCTTTTTAGGGGTGAGGAATTTGGGGATGTTCAGGGGCTAATCCCAGTTTTGTGTTGGAGGCACAAGTGGTTCCAGTCCCCTTAATAAGTTTGCTTATACTTTGCAGAGAGTGGGCTGGGTATATGACTCAGAGGTAGAATGCAGGCCTCACATGTTTGAGGCTCTGCAAGACTTCCAACACTGCAAAAATAGTAATCCGGTTTCCATGTAACAAGGTCAGCTTTTTATGTGTGTCAAGTGCAATATTTTGATAGATGCAGTGTTACATTTACCACTGCAGAGCTGTAGGGACGAGTTTGCCCTCCCAGATAGGACAACTCTTACTCAACCTACTTGCCCTATCCTTGGAACCTCTGAGCTTCTCCCCCTTTGTTATCATGCTGTTTTCAGAATGTCGTTTATTTACTTTCAGTGAAGCAAGGTAGTTTTTCTTGAAACTTATATAGAAAGATAGGAGGGGAGAGAAAGAAGTGTATGAGAACGCTGGCTTTTCCAGAGTGGAAATAGGCAAGCAAAGAAACAGGAAAACAAGCAAGCAGGATGCATGTTGAACTCAGGCTTGAAGAGCAAGCCCAGAGTGTCCTTGACATAGTGCACTGTTCCGCAGCTTCCCAGACTCCACCATGTAGAAGGACCTCTTTACCTATCCCTTCACTAAGACTAAGGGTGCCGGTTTGTTCTGCCGGTATGCCAGCTCATTATTTTGCGGCTGGGAAGATGGCATAAGTGGTGGCTGCCCTAAGGTATGATTCTGGCACTGCATGGCCAGCCCCTGAGCACGCGTGTGGCTCCCATGCAGCTGAGCATTGCCAGGATTGGCCCTGTTGCCCCTTTCTGGTGCCACTTGGCCTATATTTTCCAAAAACCCCATGTTTGGGGGCCACATGTGACCATGCTTAGGAACTGCTCCTAGCTCTCTGCCCAGAAATGACCCCTAGCTGTGCTTGGGGGATTGTATCTAGTGCCAGGGATTAAAACAGGGTTAGCAGCCTGCAAGGCAAGTGTCACAACCCCTGTGCATTGTCTCTGCCCCCTGTATTTTTACTTTTAAATTTTGTAGTGGTGGGGGATTGAGAGCCTTACATGCAAGCACAGGCTACATTCTGGACCCTCTGTTTAAATTTTTTGTTTTGTTACCAGACCAGGTAGTGTTCGAGGGTTATTTAGGACACTGCTCAGGAATTGCTCCTGGCGATGCTCAAGACCATATGTGGTGCCGGGGATTGGGTCAGGGATGGCTGTGTGCAAAGCAAGCAGATTCCCCCATACTGTTTCTCTAACCCTTAACACGTCTGTTTTCTGTTTTTTAAGGAATCCTCATGTTTTCCATCGAGGCTGTGTCAGTTTACATTCTTAACTACAGTGTCCCCAGAGTTCCTTTTCTTCATATCATCACCAGTATTCTTTGTTTTCAATCTTTTTATATGGGTCTTTTCTCACCAGTGTGAGATGACAACCTTATTGTGGTTGTGATTTGCAAGTTTTTAAGTAATCAGTGATGTTGAATTTTTTGGGGGGTGAGGTGGAGTGGGCAGATTGCTTTTCTGTTGTGTGATGTACATACATAGTTTGTTTTGTTTTGGGTCACACCCAGTGGTGTTCAGGGCTTATCCTGACTTTCCACTCAGGAATCATTGGGCTTGAGGGAATATATGGGTTGCAGGGGCTAGAACCTTCTCTCCTCTGCCATGTACAGTGCAAGAACCTAGCCTGCTGTGCCAGCTCCCTTCTTTATATATTTTGACTAATAGCCCATTGCAGACTTCTAGGTTGTCTTTTTCTTCCATGGTAGTTTCTTTTGCTGTGTAGAAGTATTTTACGTAGTGGTGTCATCTTTTGGGAAGGGGTGTTGCCACATAAAAAATAAACCTGTGTCTTTGCTGATTGTAAAGTTCATGATAGAAAAATATTTTGAGCCCTTGAAAAAAGTTAATTGAAAATAATGCACAATAATTACACTTACTGCTGTGCTGTATCGAGTTTCACAAGACCAAGTTGGAACCCATGAATAATATTTTTACTGTTCAGTTTATTTTTTTTGGCATAACCTTTTTGGTTCTTACTGGACTCGATTTCCAAGCAGCTGATTCCTCTGAGCCCTATACGTGTGCTATTCTGCATATTCCCATGTTTGGTGTGGGCAGGAGGGTGAAAAAAAAATTATGATAGCCAGTGAAATATTCTTAATGCTGGAGCTGAATTAATGGACTTTCAGGTTTTGTTTTAGTTGTGGAGCACACCCTGCTGTGCTCAGGACTCACTGCTGGCTCTGTGCTCAGGGATCACTCTGGGCGGGGCTGAGGGCATGGGGAAACCATAAGTGGTGCAGGGATCAAAGCTGGCTCAGCCGCGTGCAAGGTGAGAGCCCTGTCCATTGTACTATCTCTCCAGCCCTGGATTTCAATTCTTACACTGGATCAAGTCCACCAGCATTTTAAATAATCAAGTCCCCAAGTTTCTATTGCTGTCACACACAAATCCTAGTGTTTAAGTTTTAAAAAAAGCCCTTGCAGTCCGATTGGGGCAGTAGTTTCCAGTTTGAATTTCCAGGAATGTTCACCAGCCTGTAGAGTTACTTGTGAACTGAGAAAGTTACTGTGTTGCAGTGCTCTCTTCAAACAGGAAACTCTTAAATCAGCTGATGGAGGCAGCCTCTCACCTCCAGAGCAACTGCAGGCCCCACAGGCAGAGCCCTCCCTAGTGAGCCTGAGCCCTGTCACTGGAAGGAGGGGAGAATAATAGCCCCTCAGCACAGCCCTGGATTAATAATGCCTGTGACTGTTAATGGTGGCCACATACTGTCTGCCTTAGAACAGCAGGGGCTTCGTCCCTAGCATTGCAGGACCTCATGTCAGAGAACTGGGATTAGTGATGAGTACTGCCAGTGTGGCCCCCCAAAACAAAACAATAAATAAAATGAAACAAACCTTAGTTGCCTGTACATTGCCTATACACTGAGCTAGGAGTGAGCACTGCCGTGTGTGGCCCTGTAGCCCCTCAAGTAAAAATTCCCATGACTCATGGATATCGGTAATTGAATTAATGGGCTGACTTTTTTGTTTGTTTGTTTTTTAATAAAGCTAGTTTTGAGCTCATTGAATTTACCTTTTGGGGCTGTTGAAATGATTTACAAAATAACCAGTGATTTTTTTTTTTAACATATAAAGACTTTAGAATATGTGTGTGTGTATGTGTTTTTGTGTGTGTGTGAGAAGAGAGAGAGAGAGAAGTTGTGTGCTTTCCTCTTGCCATAGCAGTACCTGCTGTGGAGTACAGCTGGAATGGTATTATCTGAGAACAGGCATAGCATGTACGGCTTTCTAGTGATTCATTCATTTATTTTCACATGCTGCTTTTTTATTCTCTTTATTTTAGGCTAAGTCATGTGTCTGCCATGTTTGTGGTGGTGTGCACCTCAACAGGCTTCACTCTTGCCTGCACTGTGTCTTCTTTGGCTGCTTCACAAAGAAGCATATTCATGAACATGCCAAGTCAAAGCGGCACAACCTAGGTAAGCCCCTTCTGAACTGTTGGCGCCAGGGTATTTCTTTGAATTTTGCTTTGCAGTTTCCCCCTTCCAGAAGTCTACTTCTTCTATCTTAACTTATTGCCTCCTTGTGAAACTTCATCGAGAAAATGAAGGAGATAAACCAAGGTCAAGTGTTTTATGTCCCCAGTTAGCCCTAAGGCATTGGGTTGCTGTTAGTGTATTTGGGGCAGGGAAGGGGTCCTGAGGATCAGACCCAGGTTCTCAGAGGTGTGAGGGATGCACTTGACCACTGATCTCCCTCCCTGACCTGGTGTTAATATTTTATACCACCTTAATAAGTTAAGGTGACTTACTCTTTGTTGTATTCAGCTTTCTTTGAAAATGCTTCTTCTTTTTTGTCTTTGGGCCACTCCCAGCTGTGCTAGAGGCTTGCCTCTGGCTCTGTGCTCTGGGATCCCAGCTAGCCGTGCACAGGGGATGTATGTGGTTCCGGAGATCAAACCAAGGTCAGCCGTGTGCAAGACAAGCACCTTACCTGCTGCACGGTACCTCAGTCCCATAATGAAAAAATCTCAAATGCAGTATTAGGTCATAGTTGTCAGTGGTTTTTAATATTACCAGTAATAGATTTCTGAGAAATGGTTTTCTGAGAAAGTAACATAAATTTATATTTTATATTTGAAATTATTTTATATTTGAAATTAAGCCCCCGCACCTGGCTGTCCTCGCCGGGGCCCCTTGGAGGGGAGCGGGTTGAGATTTCCTCCCCGCCCCGACCAGGGCTCCGGCAGCCGAAGACCTCCATGACCAGCCACCACCATGCTGAGACCACTCTCCGCACACCTGAAGGTACCGGCAGAGGGACAAAGCCATGTGGGTTCCGGGGCCAAGATCTCCAAGCCTACTCGGATTGGAGTTGAGCATCCTCCACCCAGATCCTCCAAATTCCAGTAGGCGGGGGTCACACCCACCAACTGGCCCCCTGGCGCCGTGTAATCCCATCAATGGCCAAGACTCAGAGACTATAAAACCCAGCTCCTGGAAGCACACGGCTGCATTCGCGGCCACACGACATCTTACCATCTCATTCCTACTTTGGACAAACTGGCAGGCTACCAAATGTAGCCTGCCCACACGGTAGAGTCTGGCAAACTCCCCGTGGCGTACCCAACATGCCAAATACCAGTAACAATGAAGGGTCTCGTTCTCCTAACTCTGAAAGAGCCTTGAATATGGCACTTTTTAAAAATCTCAGGGCTAGGACGAAGGAGACGTTACTGGGGCCTGCTCGAGGCAATCGACGAATAGCAGGATGGTTGTGATTGTGGTTGTGAAATTAAGCCTGGGACTGGAGAGATATTATAGTGGGGTATATAGGGTGCTTGCCTTGCACACTGCTGGCCCAGGTTTTAATCCCGATGACACCTATGATTCCCCCCAGCAGCACCAGGAGTAAATGCCGAGAAGCAGCAAAATCAAATTTGTCCAGGTAGGGAGCGAACAGGGAGAGAGGAGGAAAGCCAAATACCATTGTATGGAGTGGCTTTGTTTTTTCTTCCCTGGCTTGCTAAGACCACATTCATCCCCTTCCCTCAGTGGCTCACTCTGATGCGTCTCCCGCTACCCCAGAGCAACTTCCTGGACTTGTTATTTTGGTTAGCATGAAGGGTGTTTTGTGGTATGTTCAAGGGCAGTTAAATTAAGCAGCCATATAGAACTTACTCTAATTTGATGTAGCCGGAAGAGTTTGCTATATACTTTCTCTTTCCCAGTAGACTGAATGTTGGAGCCCCAGAAAAATGTGTGAGGCATGAGTAGCACCATAGCACTGTCCTCCTGTTGCTCATCGATTTGCTCGAGCGGGCACGAGTAACATTTCCATTGTGAGACTTGTTACTGTTTTTGGCATATTGAATATGCCACAGGGAGTTTGCCGGGCTCTGCCATGCAGGCAGGATACTCTCTGTAGCTTGCCAGGCTCTTCGAGAGGGACGGAAGAATCGAACCCGGTTGACTGAGTGCAAGGCAAATGCCCTACCTACTGTGCTATGACTCCAGTCCACTTTTAAATCTCATACAGGCAAAAATCTAAGTTTTCTTTAGATTGAGTATCCAGAAAAAGCTCCAACTTTACTGTACAGGCCCCACACTATTTTTTTGTGTTAGAAAAGACATCATTATTTTATTTAATACTTATGCCTCCGAGATCTCATCTGAAAATGTGTGGGGCCTTTACAGTAAAGTTGGAGCTTTTTCTGGATACTGAATCTAAAGAAAACTTAGATTTTTTCCCTGTAGGAGACTTAAAAGTGATGTCTTTGCTTAGTTTCATGCCTCATAGAAAGGTGATAGTAGTTGCCCAAAATGTGCAGATTATCTGGGCTATTGATCTTTCCCCTTCACTCTCAAGGTCATCCAGTAACAAAAGAGGAAAATTCTTGCCTGAGTCGATATCTGTATCATTAGACGCCTTGAGAATTCCTGAGTAAGCCATTACATGAAAACCCAACCAGACTTCAATGTACTTCAGAACTTCCACCAGTATGGTGACCTTCACAGCACAAGGGCCTGCCTCAGCATTAATATCCCTCATACAGACAACTTTTTTTTTCTCTCAACATTTTAGTCTGGTGCAGTCAAAATTTGTTCTTAAAACAGTTATTTTGATTGTGAAATAATTTTCCAGTGTAACTCCATTAGATGGTAGTCATTGCTTTGGGTTTTTATATTGACGTGAAATTCACAGAATATACTACTTACTGTTTTAAAGCATACAGTGCAGTATCATTTATTTGCAGTATTTAATCTTGGTCTCTCAGATTTTTTCATTACCTCAGAATTTTCATCTCCAGTCACTGAGTCATTCTTTCTTCCCTCAGATCCTGTCAGTCACTAATTTGCTTTTTGTCAAGGTTTATCCTATCGTAACATTTATAGGTAGTAATTTGTTCCTTAGTATAGTCGAACAGTGTTCCATTGTGAGGATAAAATTGAGTTTTGTTAGTCCATCTGTTAACAGATGTTTGGGTGTTTTCACAGTTTGCAGTTAAGACTAATGCTTTACAAATATTCCTATATATGTTTCTGTGTATGTTTTTGAAAGGTCTGGGAACAGGCTTATGGAGAGAATGAGCAGAGACCAAGAGAAGAATCAGGCTAGAATGGGCTTATTGAAATGTTCCCAGGTGATGTTCGTGGGCTTCCGAAGAAACCCAGTGAAGTCATGCCTAATATATATTCTGGGGTGCACTTAGAGAAAAACACAGGAAGTCTGGAGTGAGGAGCAGGCTAGCTCAAGGGTTTTCAAGCGAGCAGGTTTCAGGAACTACAACAGTAATAAGAAGTCCCTGTTAGGTAGTAGTTTAAGGAGCCGTACATGTAGATCCTTCTCCCTGAGCCCTTGAGCCGACCTAACAGTTTTCATTTCTTTGGAATGAAAAGGTCCGCTGTGTAAGTCTGATTAATGTTGCCAGACTTTTCCATAGGATTTCCAGCCCCACCAGCATTCAGGCAGCTTCCAATTTCTCTAGTCTCCTCCACACTTGCTCTTTGCTTTTCAACCTTAGCCATTTAATGGGTGTGAAGTCGTAGTTTACTATGTCTTTGATTTATGTTTTCTTAATAGCCCATGATATTAAACAGTTTTTCATGTGCTTATTGGCCATTTGTGTATCTTCTTTGAAAAAATTTCTATTTTAGTCTTTGGCATCAAATATGAATCCATTCCTAACTGAAAGGTGAAAACCAAGTCCCCCATCTTTTCTTCTAAAGAGTTTTACACTGTAAGCTCTCTTTTTGGAGTGGAGTTGAGGGACACCCCTGACTGTGCTCAAGGTTTACTCCTGCTTTGTGTTCAGCGATCACTCCTGACAGTGCTTCAGGACCCATAATATGGTACCAGGGATGGAACCAAAGTTGACTGCATGCAAGGCAAGGATTTTAACCCCTGTATTATCTGGCCCTATCATACTTTTTGTTCGTTTGTCTTTGGGTCACCCACCCAGTGATGCCAAGGGGTTATTCTTGACTTTGCCCTCCCAAATTACTCCTGGTAGTGCTCAGGGGACCACATGGGATGCTGGGGATCGAACCCAGGTCAGCTACCTGCTAGGCCAGTGTATATACCATCCCCATGATGCATTTTCGTTCATTTTTTCTGTTAATTTTTGTGCATGATTGATGATAAGCATTGATCTTCATTTCTTTGCATTTGGGTATCTAGTTGCCCCAGCACCATTTGTTGAAAAGACCAGTTTTTCCTAATTGCATTGAAATAAGTATATGCCTTCCTCAAAATGAGAGTTTCTCTGTCAGCTCTATGTTTGGCACATTTGTCATTGAACTGCTTCTGCCTTTCTGAAGTTTCTATCATCCTCTGTGTAAGCTTCTCTCTGGTCCAGTGTCTCTTTTATATCCCAATGTCCAGAACAGCCCCATAAAGAAATACGGAGTGTCAAAGGGCAGCAGCATTGGTGAGGCTCTCAGACAGTTCTCTGGAATTTTGTTAGGTTTGGGAGGAGGAGCTGGTAGGCATGGGTGACTTAAATTGCTGTTTTGTGTTTCAACAGAATCTGCTTTTGAGTACTCTAAAGATAAACTACAGTATTATCAAGTCGTGTCATGGTAACTTGATCATGAAATATAATAAAAACTGATTTATCAAGAATTACAGTTTATTAGGAAATGTGCTGTAATGGTTCTGCATCTTGACATAATTGTCACGCAGACCTGCTAATGCAGTTACTCCTGCCAGTTGTTACCGGACAGGAAACTCAGGCTCAGAAGTAGAGTGACTTTCAAGTATCTAGAACCTAGTAAGAGGCATACCGATGCTCCTTACCAAGTGTGTACTCTTCTCCGTGCACTGGAGAAAAGCTCAAGCCCCACTCACTCAGCACAGGATGGTGGACACTGTGGCAGGAAGTCAGCGTAGCTGCTCAGCATATTTTACTGCTGTCCTGACAGTAAGGGAGGCCAGTAGCTGTTGCACTCCTATTTTGTAATGAGAATTTTAGATCAGTAGAGCACAATTACTAAATTTGAGGAGACCAAGAAACCTTATAAATAGGAGAATCAGAGAATTTTGACTCTTCATACCACCCTTCAAAGAAGAGGAGGATCCTGATTCTTGACTCTTAAGTCCCTGACAAGTCCCTCTTAGATTCTTCGATCCTTGGGAGGAGGTTCCAAGCAAACATTCTCCTGCTTCATCTGTTCAGGATAAACTTGCTGACTTGGAGGAAATGTCCTGTAACAATAGGATTCTCTGATTTGAGAGTAGAAAATGTTGCTCTCATATGTCTCAGAAATGTGTCCTTATGTATCACATTGTGTATCATATGTGTCCTAAGAAATGGTGCGCTCATATGTCTTAGAAACTGTGTCCTTGCATATCATATTATGTATCATATGTGTTCTTATGTATAATATTGCAATTTTTAATTTATTCTCCTTTCTGTTTTCAGCCATAGAGCTTATGTATGGAGGCATCTACTGCTTTTTGTGTCAGGACTACATATACGACAAAGACATAGAAATAATTGCCAAAGAGGAACAACGGAAAGCTTGGAAATTGCAAGGTGTGTTTTTCTAGGGTTATATGTCTCATTTTTTTCTCAGCTGCATTTTCCTTTTGTCTCCTGAGAGAAGAGTGGGTGTAGAGGAAGACAGTAGGTCTTGGGAGGCTGGTTTTCTGTAGAATGGGTTCTCATTTGGTGGAATGATCACTAGTCCCTCACCAACCAGTGTGCCCTCTTCCCCGGCCAAACCTCTCCCTCCCTCCTATAGCTGAAGTGGAGCCTGGTGAGGCTGCAGGTCTGCAGCTGCCCACAGTGCTTAAGAAAGAGCAGGTCCCAACACCCCTGGGCGCCCATTAAGGAAAGCGTTCAGATGCAGCTGGGCAGGCCACATCCCCATCTAGTGGACAAAGGATTCCATGTTCACGTCTCTGAAGATGGTTTGCTCCCAGCTCCCCTCTTCTGTTCCAGAAAGCCACCTCGCCTCAGTCATACTAGAATGGATATTTCTAGTACCTTTTGTGTGGAGGTTAGCCAGTTTTGGATTAACATTTGTATATTATTTTGACAATAAAAAATTTTAAAACATAAACACCTGGGAAGAAGGAGAAAAAGCTCAGAGTAAATTTAAGTATACTATTGTTCCATAACATATAAATCACATTACTAAGATAATACATGTCCTGGAATAAAATAAAATTTTTCTAAAATCACTTTATTGTTTTCTATTGATGCAATGGTTTCTCTTTCACTGTGATTTGAGTTACGCAGATAATTTTAGATGATGTGGAACCAAGTATTTCTGGGTGAATAAAGTGTGTGTTGAGATAAAATGGGATGCTTATTCTCACAGACACAGTCAATTATACTTATAAGTCTTCTGTGGGGGCCTATAGAGGTGAAGGCGCTTCCCTTGGGTGCTTCTGACAGCTGGTTTGATCCCAGCACCACTTACAGTCCTCAAGCAGAGCCAAGAGTACGCCCTGAGCACTGCCAGGTGTGGCCCCAAAGGCAAGATGAGTATAAGTGTTCTACAGGATGTATTTTAGAAATATTACAATTTTTTTTTACCTTTTTTTTTGGATGGGATTGGGGTTAAAGTTCTCAAAATAATAGGGGAAGGGTGTGGGGGCCTCCCAGGCAGTCCTAAGGAGGCTCAGGAACCCTGCTAGTGGTTCTTAGCCAGGCTGATGACTCAGAGTAAGAGGAAGACATGATGCTGAGGCTGGTGGTGTGCTGTCAGGATACCCGGGCCACTCTGGCACTGCTGAAAGCTCTGGGGCTGCATCAGAGATGCTCAGAGGACCTCATGGTGCTGGGAATTGCATATGGTCAAGGTGTGCCCGATAGCTGCTGTACTACCCTAGACCCCCAAGGTACTTCACAGCATATTATTTTCTGTTCACAGGAAAGTCTTTGTCCATCAGAAAGTCTTTCACCTAAGACTTCGCTGGAGCTGAGACTGATCTTTCTCTCTTTTAGTGAGCAGTGTTGCTTTCCTTCTGGCAGGGAATCCAGTGTATGCTCTGCACAGTCTCTGAGAGGAAGTCCCCATCGCGTCCTGTGTGAGCCCACCACAGTGTTGGGTGACCTGCAGGAAGATCTTGTGTAACAAGTCCCTCGCTGAAATGCAGCCTGACCAGATGTGTATCCACAGCACACTTAACTTCTAAACACACTTTGATAAAACTGTCACTCATTGCTCCTGTTGCTGGTTTTCACCTGCTTAGGTGTTGGAGAGAAGTTTTCAACCTGGGAACCAACCAAGCGGGAACTTGAACTGCTGAAACACAACCCGAAGAGGCGGAAGATCACTTCTAACTGCACCATCGGTAGGTGGGGTGGGGGTGAGCATAGGGGAGTCTCTTTCACTCCCACTTGAGCGTGCTTCTCAGGCTTGAAAAGTAGATATCTCAGTGGGATTCTAAGTGGAGTTCCTTCCCTGGCCCTGTCAGAGCCCTTGTTCCCGGGTGTGTGAGTGGGGTGGGGTGGTGACTTCTCTCCTGCACCCCTCGGGTTCTGCCTGTGTGAAAACTCAAGTTTATTCTGACCAGGCTGATGCTGTGTGGTCACTTTCAGGGAGCAACATAAGAGTGTGAGTTTGAGAGAGACGAAATCTACTTAGAAACATTCTTAAAAGCCTTTTTTTGTTTGAGAGGCACCGTTCTCGCGTGAGCAGTTACAACTGAACATCGTAGAGTACCTTGGGTTGGTTCATTTAAACATGCCTGAAAGTGTGTGAGGTTGAGCATTCCTCAGTGCTCACGTGGCATAGAGATGATGTGAAGTTTGTACAAAAGTGGCTCGATGATCCTATTTCTTCTCACGCATTTCTTGCTTCTTGGGCGAATGAATGAAGGGAAGTGTACACATCAGTGGGTTGCTGCTGTGCGGCTGGGGCTCAGAAATATGCGTGGTCAGTGTTGTGGTCATTCCGGCTAAGAACTCCTGTCTACTTCGTGCCCAGGCCTGCGCGGGCTGATCAACCTGGGGAACACGTGCTTCATGAACTGCATCGTGCAGGCTCTCACCCACACACCTCTGCTTCGGGACTTCTTCCTGTCCGACCGTCACCGGTGTGAGATGCAGAGCCCCAGCTCCTGCCTGGTCTGTGAGATGTCCTCGCTATTCCAGGAGGTAGGGCAGGCAGCCTCCGTACCAGAACCTTCTCATAACAAGCCCTCCTCCCTCCTTGCCCTCTGCTTTAATACCAGCTATGATGGAGGGAGGCACATTTCTGAAACCTTATGTGAATACATTTTTTTTTTCATTTTTTAAAAAGTTTCAAAATGTAGAATGACAGAAAGGGGGGGAGGAAAGCATGTGGAATTGGAGAGATCCGTCAGGGCACATGACTTGCTATGTCTCAAATTTGATCCCAGTTATGATGTGCATCCCACACCCCCAATACCAGCATTGCTGGGTGGACCTCTGGGGATTCCCCAAAGACCACTGTTGTGCCCTGTGGCCTCCATATAGACCCAGATAAGTTCATATCGCGTCAGAGAAATTGAACCATTTGCCCAGTTGGCAGAATATAGTTGGGAGTGGCCCGAGTTCCTTGAGCTGTATGACTAAATCTTATGTACCTGTATGTTTTATGGAAGACACCTTTCCCCTGCGTCTTCCCAGAGGCCATCATTAGATCAGAGACTGCCACTAAAGCTGGAACCCATGCATGCAGGAGGCCTGAGTCCCATCCTGGCACCACACATGGAGCCCCTGAGCACTGCTGGATACAGCCCCCAAACAAAAGACACAGGGAGACTTCTGGCATCATTTTTAGAGGACAAGGATGCGCACTTTGAAAAGGGCACAAGGGGCGGATGGCATTCATTTCTGCATGTACTATGGCTGGGTCACCTTGCTACTTTACATCATGATTTGAGGGGTTGTGGGTCCGAACTTGCCACAGTACTGTCCTTATTTTGGGTTTTGGGCAATGCCTGACTGTGCTCAGGGTTTACCCCTGGCTTTATGCTCACGCTCGCTCCTGGCAGGGCTTGCGGGACCATATTTGGTGTTGGGGATCAAACCGGGTCCACCATATTACAGGGTAACCTCTTTATTCATTGTAATATCGCTCCAGCCCTACTGTCCCCTTAAAGAGATGGTATTTCCCACTCCCTGGCTTTTGGGCCACACCTGGCATACTCAGGGCTTAGTCCTGGCTTTTCACTGAGGAATTATTCCTGGTGGGGTACAGGGGATTATATGGGATGCTGAGGATTGAATTTGGGGTTAGCTGCCTGTAAGGCAAATGCCCTACTCCCCCCACCCCCCCATACTATTGCTCTAGTCATGGAGATTGAGTTTTCTGTAATACTGAGTGCTAGGTCAATCAAGTGATCTCTAAATTGTATTTGTGACTCTCTGCCCTCAGTATCAGCTGCGGTCTTAGGCAGCAGTTGCGTTGGACCTGTCCGTCTGTCCCTCACCAGTGCTTCTGGCAGAACTCAGACGCGGCATGTGGTGAACTCAGAATAGGCTCTCTGAAATGAATGAATGAATGAATGAATAAATGCCAAAGCATGTGGCTGTCCCAGCTAAAAAGCCTGGGCTTGTGCCTCTTCCTAAGTTGCTGAGAGGAATTAGATTTCACTCATGTACCTGTAGGAGACAGCAGATCCTGCAGAGGCTGTTTCTGGAAAGGATCCTTTGGCACAGCTGTGACAGGGCCACAAGGCCTAGGTTACTTCCCCTCTGGCTCATTTCAGACGAGCTTCCTGGTTCTCTGGTCTAGCCAGCCCACTTCCTCCTTCCATGCAACAACCCTGACACCTAGTGAGCAGATGACCACCCCAGTGTAGGGGGCGCATGGGGGTGCGCTCTCACATGTGCAGTTTCCAGGTCCTGTTAGGCTGAAGGCAGGTAATGGAACAAAGGTGCGAGAGCTGCCTTGCAAGCCCAAGGGAGTAGAGTGAGAGTCAGCTGCCCCTGATGGAAGGTGGAGTCATTCTGACCAGACTCACCATACAGACAGGCAGGGTGTATGTGTGTGTGTGTCTGCCTGCGTGTGTCTGTGTGTGTTGAGTGTGCTTGAATGCATGTGTGTGTCAAGTGTGTGTGTGTGTGTGTAGTGTGCATGTGTGAGTATATGTGTGTTACGTATGCTGTGTGCATGTGTGTGTCAAGTGTGTGTGAGAGAGAGAGAGAGTGTGTGTGTGTGTGTGTGTGGAGTCCAGAGGGCAGCATTTACTGCTGACGGTGTTTTCTTTGCCTCTCTCTGCAGTTTTACTCGGGGCACCGCTCCCCTCACATTCCCTACAAGCTGCTGCACCTGGTGTGGACACATGCCCGGCACCTGGCAGGGTACGAGCAACAGGACGCTCATGAGTTCCTCATTGCAGCCCTGGATGTGCTGCACCGGCACTGCAAAGGTGGGCCCCGTGCCTATCGTTGTGGGGGGGCTGGGGACAGCCTGTGTCCTGTTTGTGTCTGTTGCTTTTCTCCTCGACGCCAGGAAGCACCGTGCTGAGCTCAGACCCTCAGGCAGGGTCTTTATAGTTCTTAGTGGCCCTGAGCACTGCCATGGGAGAGCCCTGCAATATTTGTTTTAACATGAAAGAGCCCATGTGGTGGTGTTGCCTCCCGCCAGGCAGTGTGGTGTTGCGTGCGTTCTGGCCAGAGCAGGGGTGGCGGGCACCTGGCATCGGCGCTGCTGTGCTTGCTAGCCTGGCTGCTGTGCTGGCCACTCTGTGGCTCCTGCTCTGGGTCCGGGGCATGTCTGACAGCTTCAAGCATAACTTGCCATCAAACCTGCACCCTCCCTGTTGGATCCCCAAAGGATCTCATCTCTAAACAAACCAAGAAAACTGGGCATACACACCTCAATTTATGCACTGGCCAGGCCTCCCTGACCCTCACTCAGTTCATTTTTGGTGCCACTTTCATTTTAAAGTCTTACAGATCTGGCCAGAGACTGCGTTTGGGCCCATCTCACCAGAACAGTTGTATTCAGATGAAAAAGGAAGTCAACAGCTCTCTGGTGACTGGAATGAATATATCTATGACTATGTTTTGGTTTTCTGTGGGTGGGTGCCGGGGTCGCACCCCAAGTGCTCAGGGCTTACCCCTCGCTCTGTGCTTAGGGATCTCTCCTGACAGGCTCAGAGGATATTAGGTATATTTGGGGTGGTGGGGATTGAACACAGGCTGGCCTCATGTAAGGCAGAACATCCCACCTGCAGTACTATTGCTCCGGCCCCGAGATGTATTTGAGTGCCAAGAGAGAAGCTAAGGAGGTCTTAGGGAACAGAAGGAAAGAAAATTGAAAGGAACAGGAGCCAGCTGCGTTGTCCTCCCCTCCCCCAAGTATTCGAGTGATGTCCTTTTCCCATTCCCCTTTGGGGCAGCAGGTGCGAGCCACAGCTGTGCTCTCTCCCCAGGTGATGACAACGGGAAGAAGGCCAACAACCCCAACCACTGCAACTGCATCATAGACCAGATCTTCACTGGCGGGCTGCAGTCTGATGTCACCTGCCAAGTCTGCCAGTAAGTGCCTGGCGCTCTGGCCCTTGTGCTGACCCTGCTGTGTCCTGGGCCAAAGCTGTGGTGCTCTGTGAAGTCTTGAATGTTTTTGATTCTTGTACTGTATCTGCAGGGTATTTGGTGCAGCCTCCAGAAGGGACACACAGGTTGGCTTGAGCAGCTCCCCACGACCCCACGACCCCCCTCTCCGCCCCACTCTCATAGGGCCACCTTGAAAGTGCCCAAAGGAAAGACAATGAGAACCTGTAGGCTGAAGTGTCGGGCCCGGTCCCTGAGTGAGTGGAGGTGTCATTTCTGGGGGTGTCGTGCCCACCCCCACAGCCAGCACATTCTGGACGCTTTCCTTTGGAAAAAGACTGGACTGAAGGGTGCTGGTGTTTTTGGTACAGGTGCCCCAAAGTACCTTTATTTAAGTTATGCTATAGTTTCCTTTTCCCTTCCTCTGAAATGAAGCTCTTCTCCTGAGCCAGGGGGAGGAGGCCTGGACAGATGAGGGCTGAAAAGTTGACACCCAGCCATGGGCATTCCGATGGCCTTTACTGTTGAATTCTGCAGCTCCTTGGAAGGCTCTAGCTAGTGGCAGCGGGGAGGCGGTGCGATGCTGGATGGAGCCGGGCCCTCTGCATGCCCTCTGGCTCGCTCCTGCTGTCTCTAAAGAACATTGTTTTCAGCCCTGGTCACAATTGACTAAAATTGTTTTAGGCAGATAGTGGAGGAGGGTAGCTTTGGCCTAGCAGCAGTGTGGCGGCAGCCCCTGTTCTGTGGCACATGCCATCTCAGAACGTCACTCACGAAGCCCAAACTCACACTGTCATTTGTTCTGGCTTCAAAACTGGGGCTTAGCTCAGACTTTCGCAAGAGGCAGTGTGCACACCCCCCGCCCCCCAGCTGGAGGTCAGTTTTGCCCTCCTGTGTGCCATCGGAGCCTGTCAGCGGTGGACTTTCTAGGACTCAGGCCACTTGCTATAGTTAAGCTATGGCTTTTCTTCTATGTCACGGTCACGGTCCTCCCGTTGTTCATCGATTTGCTCGAGCGGGCCCAGTACGTCTCCATCATGAGACTTGTTACTGTGTTTGGCATATTGAATGCGTCACGGGGAGCTTGCCAGGCTCTGCCGTGCGGGCGAGATACTCTCAGTAGCTTGCCGGGCTCTCCGAGAGGGGTGGAGGAATCGAACTCGGGTCGGCCATGTTGGCTGCATGCAAGGCAAACGCCCTACCGCTGTGCTATCTAAATTCCTAGGAGGACTTCGCTTGGTGGATGAGCCCGCAGGCACCCTTCCTGGACTCCCAGCCAGTGCAGTCACTGTGAAGTGTGCTTGGAGCTCCCGCTGTCCCCAAGGGCGCTGTCCTTCCCTCCCACAGCGCCCACGGTGCTGGCCTCTAACTGTAGCCCCAGAGCCTGAGGTTCAGCAGTGCCCCCTGCTGGCCGCCCGGCCCCTTCAGGGATGCGCTGTCTGCTCCTCCTGAGTGAGGGGCATCTGGACAGGGGCAGCACCAGTGGCACCTGACTCTCTCTGTAGCTGTCACTTGTCCTGGGTGTTTTCAGCAAGGGAGCAACAGCGGTCCACAGGCGCCATGATGGGAGGACACACATGCACACTGGAGTTGTGGAGGGGGTTTGGGGAAGGAGAGAGAGGTGCTACACTGTGATGGGTGTGGTGCTGGAATTAGGTACATGATAAACCATAGTTAATAGCATTGTAAACCACAGAATCGCAATTCTAAAATTTCAGAAAATAATTTAAAAATAATAAGGGCTGGAGAAACAGTACAGCAGGCGGGGTGCTTGCCTTAAGATGTGGCTGACCCGGGTTTGATCCCTGACATCCCATGTGGTACCCGGAGCGCAGCTAGGAGTGGTCTCTGAGCACTGTTGGCTGTGCTTGGAAACAGAAAGTAAAATAAGTCATTTCAGAAGATTAAGGATTTTGTTCTCTATGCTTTTTCCTCTTCCCAGTGGCGTCTCTACCACAATAGACCCATTCTGGGACATCAGCCTGGATCTGCCGGGCTCTTCCACCCCGTTCTGGCCCCTGAGCCCGGGAAGCGAAGGCAGCGTGGTAAATGGGGAGAGCCACATAGCCGGAACCACAACGCTCACTGACTGCTTGCGAAGGTAAGACCCTGTGCCCGGGCTTCTGAGGGAGGAGGACGGTCTCCTGACACCTTGGGCCCGCACGTCTTGTGGCTCAGAGCAGTGTAAAACCCTGGGGTGGCCCACAGGTGCGGGTGGCTGCACTCAGTGCCCAGTGGCTTCCTCCTGTGAGTAAGTCACAGTTTTGCAAAGTGAGTGTGGTGTCTGCTCAGCTTTGCCTGCTGGAATATCTGTTGAACTAGCTCAGGTGTGTCCACTGTCCCCTGGAGGCCGCCAGAGAGAAGCTGTTGGCCCCTGAGCTAACTGAACCCCAGTGACGCTGCTGGTGGGGCAGAGCGCCTTTCTTCTTCCCCAGGGGCTTCCTTGGTCCTCGTTCTGGCAGTCCCAGGCTGTGCTCTTACTCTCTGGCCCAACTTCCACCATATCAGCTCTCCGTGGATGTGTCCTTCAGGGCTAGGGATTGTCTCAGACTGGTCTTGTAATGACCCTTCATAGCTCTCGCATAGAGTTGGCCGCTGGTAGGTGCTTGGAGGATGGATTCACCTGCATTTATGTAATCAGAGCACTTGTAGGTTACAAATAACTGAAACAGACCAAGGCGCCAATCAGCATCTGAAAGTACGTTCAGCTTCTGGCACACTCTCCTGCCTGCCTGCTCAGAGCAGGACACGCGATTCCTGTGTCCACACGTTTTCTTCAGAACAACCGATACGGGTCCAGAGACTTGAGTGCAGAGGGGAAGGCACTTCCTTCCATACAGCTGGTCCTGCTTTGGATCTTTGTCACCATACACTGTCCCCTAAACCCTGCAGCGTGGTGTGGTGCAAAACAAGAATCAATCCGGATATGAAACCCTGATTGTGAGCCTCTAGTTTGCCAACATAGGTGCCCTCATTGCTTAAACATGCGAGGACTAGCTACCAGCTTCTGTTGGAGATTTCTGTGGTGTCTTGTCCCCACTCAGAAACTCTTCAGACATGGGGAGGAGGGATGGTAGTCACTTGACTTACATTTTTGTCCAAAATTTCTTATAATTAGTGTTGAAGCCAAATTCCTTTCACGTCTGAATGTGGGGCTTGTTTTGATACATTAATTTTTGATATTGAGTTTGGTTCGATCTACGTATCGGTTGCAGGAATTAGCAGTTTGGCTGAGATGATGAGGATTGTGGGCAAAAAAAATGTTCTTCAGCATGGTGGTACTGCACATGGGGGAAGATAACGAAAAAGAAATGGCCCTGGAACGCTTGTCCCCAGGGTCCCCTTCCTGTCTGGGAGTCCCCCAGTCAGAAAAGGTCGCGGTCATCAGACGCAGCAGCATCTTGCCCCGGTGAAATAAGATTTCCTCAGACCTGCTTCTGAACAGATTGGATATTTTTTAAGCTGTGAACTTTGAAATTTTACTGAGAGTAAAGTGAGCTATTTTATTAGTTTTCATCTTCACCATTAGAAATATAGCTTTCCCCCTTAAATTAAACTCTTATTGGGGGTGGTGGTGGTTTGGGGACCACACCCAATGATGCTCAGGGCTTACTCGTGGCTCTGCACTCTGGAATCACTCCTGACAGCACTCCAGGGAGCATATGGGTGATCGGACCCAGGTCAGCAAGTGTAAGGCAAGTGCCTTACTTGCTGTACTGTTTCTCTGGCCTAAATAAAGCTTTTTTTTTTTTAAAAAAAAAAGCACTGTTAACATGAGATGTAGTCTACAACCACCAAACTAAAAAATGTACCTGTCAAGGTGTTTGGGGGAGTGATAGAAGCTGGGACACTAGTGGAGGGAAGTCAGCCTGGTGGGTGGTGTTGGTATTGGAACACTGCATGCCTGGAGCCCAACTATGAATAACTTTGTAAGTCTTGGTTGCCTTAGTTTAAAACACATTTTTTAAACTCTGCTTTTATTTTTGAGCATCACAGTCAGCATGTGCACCACAAGCGTGGAACCAGCAGCGACTCCCAGTGCCATTGCAGCCCAGATGCGCTCGTGCACTCCAGCAGCAAGGGAGGGAAGAGGCGCAAACTAAAGCCTGTTAACATTTGTATTAAAAATATCAAATGTGATTTAAAATGTTAGGGAAGATGGAAAAAAAATAGTTTCAATTTTGAGATTGTAAACCTCTCTGTTGTTAGTAAATAACATACTGAGAGCATTTTTTTTTTTTTTTTGGCTTTTTGGGTCATACTGGCGATGCACAGGGGTTATTCCTGGCTCATGCACTCAGGAATTACCCCTGGTGGTGCTCGGGGGGCCATAGGGGATGCTGGGAATCGAACCCGGGCAGGCTGCGTGCAAGGCAAACGCCCTACCCGCTGTGCTATCACTCCAACCCCGCTTTTTTAAGAACTCTTTTCTCTTTCTGCCTCCCCCAGTATCCCCACCTCAAACTTTTTTTTTTTTTCCCTGATGTCTTGCAGATTCACCAGACCAGAGCACTTGGGAAGCAGCGCCAAGATCAAATGCAGTGGTTGCCATAGCTACCAGGAGTCCACCAAGCAGCTCACCATGAAGAAGCTGCCCATTGTGGCCTGCTTCCATCTCAAAGTGAGTGTCCCGGGACCGTCTAGACTGTGTTCTCTGTGTTCTCTGCCCCGTGCAGCTGGGAGCGGGGGGCGGGTCTGGAGACAGAAAGTGCTTTGGTATGAGAGCAGGAGGGAAGAGTCTTCTCAAGATTTTACTACTCTTCTTACCTGGTTTTTTCTCTTTCCTCGACCCTAAAGTTTTCTGTGTGTTTTTTTGTTTTAATTTTTATGTTTTTATTGGTGAAACACCATGAGGTACAGTTATAGACTTTGTGCTTGGGTTTCAGTCATACAATGATCAAGTACCCATCCCTCCACTAGTGCCCATCCTCCACCACCACGGGTCCCAGCATCCCTTCCACCCCCTGTCCCCCCATCCCACCCTGCCTCTGTGGCAGGGCATTCCCCCTTGTTCTCTCTCTCTCTCTCCTTTTGGGTCCTGTGGTTTGCAAGCGAGGCATTGAGTGGCAATCATGTTTGGTCTATAGACTGTTTTTCTTTAACTTTAAAAAGAACCAAAGGTCTCGAAAGGGTCGGGTGAGATGGGTGAGATAATAGCCCTTTTGGCTTGGAGAGGAGCACGAAGGGGTGGGGGGAGGGAGCCTCAGGCAACTTCTCCCTGTCTCCTCGAATTGTTCCTGTAGCGCTTTGAGCACTCTGCCAAGCTGAGGCGCAAGATCACCACCTACGTGTCCTTTCCCCTGGAGCTGGACATGACCCCCTTCATGGCCTCCAGGTGAGAGCGGGTTTGGTCCACTGCACTGGGGATGGGGTGTGACTATTAGGGGTGTGCTCCCGGAGTTCCAGCCGTAGATAGGCACCTGTTGCAGAGCTCGGCTATCCTCAGGTGAGTCTCGTTCATGTTTTGTGGGTTGTTTTTTATAAACTCACAAAATTGTCAAGGTAGGATCACATTAAGAAAGCAGCTCTTAGGCTGATGAAGCCAGTTTTGGAATACAGCCAGTTCAATTTGCAGCTATAGATTTTATTTTTTTATTTTAAAATTTTGGATCATAGACCACTTGTAATTAACCCTCCAAAAATGGCAAGACTCATATATTAGACAGTGCTAATTGCTTGGACTGTTGTAACCTATCATGACCTAAAGCACTGTATTTTCTTACATTTCTCTAAAGGCTAGGTCAGGGTATTGTCGTGCCAGGCTTCCTTAGTGGGGCTAGGGGCTATACCCAGCAGTGCTCTGTGTGGAGAGATCACTCAGGTGGTGCTCAGGGAACCAAGTGTGTTGCGGGATTTGAGCCTGGGTTGGCCACATGTGAAGCAAACACCTTATTCGTGTCCTTTCTGGGCTAGCAGGTTCTGATGGACCGAGGTACAGCAGGCCGACCTGGGGTTTGGCGCTCCACCTCAAAGCTGATTGGCCCGTTGCTCTTCTGGTTCACTTGGCTAGCCTGAGTCTTGGTTTCCTCACCTTAATTCTGGTTCAGTCTGCCATAGAAGGAAGATTTGTAGAAAGAACTAGATACGATGTGTGTGCATAAAATATCTGGCACAGTAGTTCCCCAATCACACTAGTGATAGCATTTGAGTCCTGGGTCTCACAATTATTTTGGATGTTGAATTTGCTCTTGTTCTTTATAGCAAGGAGAGCAGGATGAACGGGCAGTACCAGCAGCCTATGGATAGCCTCAATAATGATAACAAGTAAGTGGTGCCTTGGGGATATGTCCTGGGCATCACAGGTGTGGGCAGGGATCGGGATTTGGAGGGAAGCCTGCCTCTTTCTCTTTTTCCCCTTTGGCTTTTTGGGTCACACCCGACAACGTTCAGGGACTACTCCTGGCTCTGCACTTGGGTATTACTCTTGGTGGTGCTCAGGGAACCATATAGCATGCTGGGGGTTGAACCAGGGTTGGCTGTGTGCAAGGCAAACACCCTCCCCACTGTGCTGTCGCTCTGGTCCGACCTGCCTGTGTTTCTCTGGGACACAGCTATACTGAGTGACAGCAATAGAGTTCTGACTCTTTTTGGCCATTGGCCTGCTTCCAGTCTTGCTGACCTATATTAAAAGTACTTAATCATCTTATTATCTCATTCCTACTTTGGACAACCTGGCAGGCTACCGAATGTAACCTGCCCACACGGCGGCAGAGTCTGGCAAACTCCCCGTGGCATACCCATTATGCCAGATACCAGTAACAATGATGAGTCTCATTCTCCTAAAGAGCCTTGAATATAGCACTTTCTTAAAAATCTCAGGGCTAGGATGAAGGAGACGTTACTGGGGCCTGCTCGAGGCAATTGACGAATAACAGGATGGTCGTGATTCATGAATCTTCTGTTGGTTAGGAATGGGCTTTCTAGTTGCATTGTAAATGCCCCCTTCTGTTGCGGGCCCTGCAGCCTCTTCCCCACTTACCTTGTCCTGCTGGTGGTGTGGCAGGGAGGAGGAGAGGGAGAGTGGTCTCAGTACCCGCTGACGCCAGTTGCTGAGCCAGGCAGTCTTTCTTCAGAACTGGGGATTTCTCATTCGAATGAGCGTCTGGTCTCTGGTGCTAGTACAGTGGGTTCATTGCTCTCTCTCCCCTACTCCCTTCTTCCCAAACTAGATACTCCTTGTTTGCAGTTGTCAATCACCAGGGAACCCTGGAGAGCGGCCACTATACCAGCTTCATCCGGCAACACAAGGACCAGTGGTTCAAGTGTGATGACGCCATCATCACCAAGGCCAGCATTGAGGATGTGCTAGACAGTGAAGGGTAGGTCCAGTGCCCCTCACTTCCCACTTGAAAACAGAGTCCAGGGCTTGTGCTTGTTACCATTCAGAGTTGTTTGCCTTAATTGCTGGAGTGCTGTGACTTGTTGCAGATAGAGAACGTGATGACCTGAGTGCTTCTAGAAGCATATAAGCCCAGTGCTCATGGAGCCTTGCTGTCCAGAGCCTCTCTCCTGTGGCTGCTTCTAGTCCTTCCTGGCATAGTCACCTACCATTCTGATGCACTAAGTCCTTCCCCAGCCTATAGAATCATTGCCTTAAGAGGAAAAGAGGTGTGTTCTTGAGCCCTAAGGGTGACCTGCTCTCTATCCATAAGGCTTCTGGGCTTTGAATTGTCATTGATAGGACTCAGACACACCATCTCCACCTCCATTATTGCCCTTTCCCCCGAGACAGACAGACAGAGAGAGAGAGAGAGAGAGAGAGAGAGAGAGAGAGAGAGAGAAAGGGAGGGAGACAGAGACAGAGACAGACAGTCACACACACACACCCCTTTGGGTTTCTATATATAAATGCTGTGTTTGAGAGAAGAACTGTGGCAGTGAGGATTACATGCCCCCATTGTAGGGTCCTACCAAAATCAGCCCCCTCCTCCCTCATTGTGCCTCCCCCTCTCCTTCCACATCCACACACAAGGTTTCACTAAGTGCCACCATGAACAAGTGAGGCCAGGCCAATGGGGAGGTCAGTCTGGGTTTGCTTAGGCATCAGGTAGCCAGTGCCACTACCCCGCTGCCAGGGCGCCTTCTCCTTGGGTACTCACTGAACCCCCAAACCAGGACATCAGACTGTCTGAGCTGGGTAGAGGCCGTGGTCTGAGTGTTCTGGAGTCCTGAGGTGAGGTTCTCCACACCCTGAGAATTGAACAAAAGCACGCTTTCTCCCTTTGCCTTCACAGATACTTGCTGTTCTATCACAAACAGTTCCTGGAATACGAATAGCCTTATCTGCAGCTGGTCCCCAGAAATGAAGGCAATGAGTTGGCAAGCACATGTTGGCATCAACGCGACCCCTGTCCTCACCGGCGTCCTGTGCCCGCCACCCCCGCGGAAGTGCCCCCAGGAGCACCAGGCTCTCTGCCGCCTGGGCCCCTGGGGCCTTGGTGCAGTTGGCTCCCAGGGTTGTGATGTGCAAGCAGAGGGTGAGGAGGGCTCTCGGGGTGTCCAGAAGAGCACATTGAAGGAAGGGTGCACCTGGGCTGGGGGAGCAGAGCAGATCTGGAGTAGCACATCTCCTGTGCTCCTTGAGAGAACTGGGGTGTGGGGTGGAGGGGTGGGGATGTCACACCTTAGCAGCCTGGCCCAGGTGCTTCAGTTCAAAAGGCGCCAGCTCATTTCACAATTAGGGTACAGGAAAGCAACAGGCTAGGGTGGTAGAGGTGGTGGGGAAGGACAGCGGTGTTGAGTCCCTTTTTCTCGAGAGTTAAGTTCTAGCTCTGTATAATCAGGAATGCTTAGCCCCATTCTGTCAGCAGATGCAGAGCGCCCCCCAGAGCCTGTGGGCGGGGCTGCAGACACTGGGTCTGCGCATGCCTGTCCTGCAGATCCTTCGCCCCAGACTGCATGTGAAGTGTCGCCTGGTGCGCTCACTCCCTCCCTCTTTAAACTCGGTGTTTTCTTGGCCCTCCCCTTCTCTCCCACAGTGATGAATTTCGTAAGTGTGATGCCAGTAATGTGAAAGAATTATCGCGTTTATACGGAAATTTTAGATGGTTTTCTCCCTTATTCCTGGTGGGGGATGAATGTTGCTTTCTCACTGGTGCTGGGTGCTTGCCTCCCCCCTTCCCCTCCCCCTTCCCGTTAGTGTCTGATTCTGCTGCTGGCTACAGCCCATGGGAGTCAGACCACAGCTAGAAGTGTCTGTCGTATCAGTCTTTTGAGTAAAGGAAAGCATTTAGGTGGTTTCTTTGTTTCCCGTCTTCATATTTGCTTCTGGCCACCTGTCCCAGTAGCTGTCTGTAACTGTGTGGTGCTGGTGTGTCTGGATGCAGGAGCGGCGCCCGCTGGTCGGTGCCGAGGACACCTGCTCGGCCTTAGTGGCATTGCAGTTCTGGTTTGTGGCTGTGCTCGTTGGCAGAGCTGCTTGGGAAGATGCAGCAGTGTAGAGCGTTCCTTGTAAGATTCCTTGCATGCGTCTGTCCGTTCAAACCCAAACGTCCATTGTTTGTACATTTACGGAAAACTGCACCCCAGCGCACGGGAGGAAAAGGCGTGTTAGTGTAGTTCGGGAAATACCCACTTTCAAGCTTGATTTTGTCCTAGTAACCCCATCTGCATCTGAACAGGGTCAGTGTTGTTTGTTTTTCAGTAAAGAACCAAATATTAAATATTTAGTCTTTAAGAACCACACAGTTTCTGCCCGAGAAAAACAAATGAATGTAGTGGTATTCCAGTAAAACTTTATTTGTGGGCAAAGTTTAGTTGTACCTAATTTACACGTCGGTAAAATTTTAGGACTTCCCCTACCTTGCTCCACCCTCCCTCTACTAAAAATTGTGTGCGTGATTCTCAATTGGCAGAGCTGTGCAGAAGAAGCGGCAGGCGGGACCCTGTCTCGGGCTCAGTTGGGCAGCATGAGCTGAGTGGCGACTGCCACACGGGAAATTACAGAGCACGGGAAACATCTGATAGTCCTGCAGTAGGTTTTTAAGCCCCTGATGAGTTCGTTGCTAAGTTGTATTACTGTGTTTAAGAAAGCTAAGTTTTTAATGGCTTTGAGATAGAATATTACCAGAGGGGTTAGCATGGGCGCAGCTCAGAAACAGCGCCTCTTGACTGTGTGACAGCAGAGTTCGGGGAGAGGAGGAGCCTGCAGACTTCAGAGCCACAAAGTTGGCCCTTGCGGCAGCCTCAATTTCTGGGGTGTCCCGAGTTGGAGTGGAGGCAGGCAGAGTCTTTGGGGTTCCTGGAACATTGCCTCAGATGTGGCCAGCCCCCTACCCCCCATGCTCTTCTCCTCTGTACCCACGACTGCCAATGGGCGCAGCTGCACCTAGACTTGAGCACTAGGTGGAGACAGCAGCGATCGGTAGGTGTTTTCACCTTGGGGCTCAGCTTAGTACCGTTTCCTGGTTACTAGCATCTTGGCACTTCCCCTTCTCGTTGTTGCCGTGCAGTCGCCTGCACTGAAAGAGCGTGGGGGCAGGGCACGTGGGACTCTGGGATTTCTTTAGGCCAGGGTCCAGGCTTTAAGGTTCCTACATTCCTATTGACCTCCCTGCCCTGTGTTGAGATCATCACAACTTAGGGCTGCACCCTTGGGGAATCATTAGGGGACATCCCCTCACACTCTATTCCTAAGGTGTTGGCTGTCACTGAAGCGCTCTGCAGTGAAGCTCCTCAGACCTGTGAAGTTCTTGGAACTCTGAGCAGTACAGAGAGCAGGTCTGGGTGCTCCGTCCAAAAAGGCATGTGTCTGGGACCGGGCTGTGGGCTCAGCTGGGCCTGTCAGCACCTGGACCCCCACCTCCAAGCCCCTGTGCATCGTGGACCTGTGCCATGGTACCTTGGCTCGGGGTGTTCGCTTTTCCTTGTGTGAACTGGCTATTCTTTTGACAATTCAAGTGGTCGTTGCGTGGACTGTAACTTGGAAAACAAAAAATTGTAGGAAAAAAGGATTCCAATGATTGTGCTGCTGATTTATTATTATTACTCAGATGTGTGACACCTCCCTTTACCTGTCTTTGGAAACTGTTTGCCCTGCTCCCTTAATGGCTTGTAGTCTTTACTATCTCCTAATAAAGCTCTTTTATTCTGAAAGTCGACCTGTGTCCCCTTACTAACAGCAGCTCAAGCAGTGCCGTGGCTGAGCCCTGCCCTGGAGCACCTGCCTGCTCAGGATCGTTCGGGTGCTGACCGAGCACTGGGGCTTGCGTGACTTTGTGATTAGCCTCTTCCTCCTCTCAAGGGCCAGGAGGACAGTTATCCAGAGTGAAAGAGACACATACATGTCTGTCAGACTGGTGCACGGAAGTTCCCCAGGGGGCTTCTTTGTGTGCACATGCCCTTTCGGCAGTGCTCCCTGAGGGTTTCCCAGCTGTTTTGGGTCTTTGATGGCCTGACCATTTTGGAAATCATTCCCTCCAGAATCCGATACTACTGCTGGTGCTATTTTCGTGAGGAGGTGGGGGATCTGGGGCTCCCAGTCACAGTAAGTCTCACCAGGGCATCAGAGAGTTGTAGGATTCCTGCCAGTGGCCAAGTATGCCTGTTAAAGTCAGAAGCTGCAGGAATAGCCAGACTGGGTGAGAGAATGAGTTTTTAAAAGGTGCGTTATTTCTGGGATACACACTGCTTCACACTCTCCGTGTCTGCAGTGCCACTAGCCGTGTTCAGTTACTGGAGATAACATGCAGAAGGAGTGTTCCAAGGAAAGGGTAACAGGGAGGGAACCTGTAGGGATCTCTGCTCAGGCATATTACATTAATTGGCTAGAGGTTCTGTTTTTCTTTTTGTTTTGAATTTTGGACCACATCTGGCTGTGCTCAGGGATTACTCCTGGCTCTGCACTCAGGAATCATTTCTGGTGGGCTTGGGGACCATATAGGGTGCTGGAATCTAACCCTAGTGAGTTGTGTGCAAGGCAAGTGCCTCACCCACGGTACTCTTTTCTCCAGCCCCTATGTCTTGTTTCTTGACTGAAAAAACACAGAACTATTGTTACAGTCATTACAGCTAAAAGAACGTTCTCCCAAAATGGAAGTTCCAGCTCTAGTCTCTCTTTAAAAAATTTTTTTTTGGTTTTTGGGTACTACCCAGTGATGCAGGACTTACCCAGGGATCCTTCCTAGCAAGCTTGGGGACCCTGTGTTTCTGGGGGTTGAACCTGGATTGGCTATAGGCAAGGCAAGTTCCCGACCTACTGTGCTATTACTCCAGCACCTCTAGTCTTTTCTTACCAACAGCACTTAATAGGCCCGGGTCAACATAAATATTCCTAGGATAAACAATTATCTCACTTGGTAGGACCCCAATAACCCAATATCATCCCAAGTACAGGGCCTGGGGAGATTGCAAGCTTAGAACAACATCCCTCTCATGCCAAACCCTGAGTTCCATCTTGAGCAGAATGTGGCTTGGATCACTGCTGCGGCTTCCCTTAGCAAGTACCATGGGATGGTGAGTAGAAATGAGGCCAGGCTCAGAGTACAGGGAACTTGAGGATTGGCGGGGAAAGGAAGTCCCTACCACTATCACTGTCCTCCCATTGTTCATTGATTTGCTCGAGCGGGCCCAGTAATGTCTCCGTTGTGACACTAAGAACTGTAATAGTCACACAGCCTGTGAGAGCAGTGGATGTGGACCCACACCTTGAGTGCCCTGTGAGCCCTAAGGAAGGGGTGTTTGGCAGAACGGTGGAACTGTGGTGACAGTGCACAGAGGCCCGAGGCAGCCGGCTCCTGGGGAATCTGCAGGCAGAGCTCGGGGTGAGAGGGAGGACTTGCAGCTGCCAGAGCCCGCAGGTGGGTTGGCCAAGCCATTGCCTGACTTGGCCACATCAGGAATGACGGAGGAGCAGGTTTAGCCACCTGACCCTGCAGAATCCTTCCCTAGGGTTAGGGATCAAGCTCACAAGAGATGGAAACTTGAGAAGTAAAACCAGATGGAAGTGGCCGCAAATAGGTAGAATTTCCACCCAAGAGGGAGCAGTCTCCCCGGAGAGCTTTGCGGACATGACATCGGCCCTAGTGAGTCAAAGGCAGAAGGAAGGGCCAAGGGTCTAGCCAGGACTTGAATGTGGCAGGCGGCTTCCCTGAAAGACTCAGCAGCCGGGGAGCTCAGTGGGCTCAGTGCATGTTTGGCAAGCAGGTACATCGGGTTTGATGTTCAGTACGGTATGGTTCCTTGAGCACTTCTGGGAGTGATTCCAGACACAGAGCCAGAAGTAGCCCCTATACTGCCAGGTGTAACCCCAAACCAGATAGTACCCAAAAACCACCCTTCAGAAAAAAGGAAAAGACCAATGTAACTTAGCATGAGGGGGTTTTCTGGGAAGTGCTTTGAGAATCAACAGCTGGGAGAGGGCAGGAGGGGAGCAAGGGTGTGGGGGTGACGGGATGCATTACAGCCCACCCCTCGGAGCTGTGGGCTGGCTGACGCTGCAGTGTGTCACTGTCGTGGGGGCAGATTATCCCCAGCTGGGTGAGGGGGCACTGTTGACCAGAGCTATTCCTGGAGGCCTTACCTGCGCCTCCAGCAAGGAACCCTCCTGCCCATCCTCCTGAGGAGGGTCTGAGGATCTGAGGCCAGTCTTCACCCTGTGTCCACCACTGCGGTGAGTATGGGAACCCCCAGTTCTTGCCGTAGTGAAGGCTGTCAGCAGCAGACAAGCCCCAGAGGCCCAGTTCCATGGAGAGTGAATCGCTGGTTTGCTCTGGGCCCATCTTGGATGCGGGGGGTGGGCTATGCATCGCTTTTCCCTGGAGAAGTTGATCCCATGGAAGTCAGTTCCGCCCTTCAGTTCCAGTGTGGAGTCTGACGTGGGCTGATGGTCAGGGAGATTGCTTTTACTGCTGGCAGAGTTCCCACCTCCCAGGAAGGGAACAGCTTCCTGTCAGGAGACAGAGTACGCCCGCTCCTCTCTGGAAAGAAAGATGGCGGCCGCACGGGAGCCTTGTGGACAGCAGGTTTGAGCCGCGGCTGGGGGTGGCAGGGACCTCATGGGAAGGGGGGCGTAATGGGCCGTCCTTCACGCCCGACCGAGGTTGCCAGCTGCCCCCCACGAGCGGCTCTCCGGCACGGCCACGACTCCAGAGCACAGAAACCAATCTCTTAACTATCTAACTTTTAATAGAAATTCTTCCAGGGTTAATAAGTAAAGTAGCAGAAATCCAAAACTGCGCGGCCGCAATAGCGGCCGCACGACATCATTTTATTCTTAAACCAAGTTGTAGAAAGCAAATCATTTCACAACGCTGTTTCAGCATGTCTGATTGGGGGGGGGGAGGGTCGTAAACTCTAAACAATAATTGTGTATCTTCTATCTAAACAATGTATCTAGTCAAAGTAGATAGAGTATTAACTAGAACTCATCTGCCTCACAGGAATTGGGAGGGGTGGGAGGTGGGGTTCTATTGGGGGTCGCGGTTAAAAATAAGTATTGGTAAAGGGAAATGTGTTTGATATTTACATGACTGAGACCTAAACCCGAAAGCTCTGTAACTTTTCCCACAGTGATTCAATAAAGAAATAAA